CAACCCAATGGCACGCCCAATGTCCAAAGCCATGGCAATGGTCCCAGGTTTACGAGGGCCAGTGGAAAAACGACAAAGCCGATGGCCTTGGGCAGTATACGCACCTTGGCATTGACAGATTGGACACACACGCTGATGTATGCATATATATATATATCAAATTTATAATATAAACATATCATGGCATAAAGTTGTATATCTTATTTTATTTCATTGTATTCCATATTGAAGGTCATGTATCTCTCTCTCTCTATATATATACATGTATCATGATGTATATGTGTATGGGTATTTGGGATTGGGAAGTGATGTGTAGTAAGGTACAATGTTTTGAGCTGTGGTTCACACTTCGTTGAAGACCAAACGCACCTTCCAAAGCTGAATATTGTGGACAATTTCCATGTATGCTGGGGCTTTTCTTAGTGGCTTCAAACCTAATGCCTGCAGAATCCTCATCCAAGATGGTGATCGTGCCAGGCACGCCAATGGGTCCACGTACGTCGGCCAATGGAAGGACCGCTCTGAAAAAAAAAACAGGGAGTTGATGGGGTGAGCAGAAATGCCATTCCTTTGCAATTCATTTGACAACTTTATATAGCTATATAATGCTATATATATATATTTATATATATATATATGCATTTCTTTACACACACACATATAAATAAATAAATAGATAAATAAATAAATATATATATATAGATATACTCCACTATGTATATGTAAAATGTTATTAATAATATAATTACAGTACATTGCTATATGATCATTATAACCCCTGATGGGACACCTTGACTTGAGGCTTCCCCCCCAAGGTGTGCCTAACACCAGCAATACGCCAGCGACATGGCGCTGCCTCCTCAGCCATTGATCATCATCGTCATCACGGTCATCGTCATTACCCTCTGGTAATTTGTTACATAGCTATTGAAAATGGCCATAGAAATAGTGGATTTTCCCATTAAAAATGGTGATTTTCCATAGTTATGTGAACGTTTACCAGAGGGTACCACCTTTTTCAACCCCCACTTCAATTTTAGGCCGCACATCCTACACGACAAATCGACAAATCTAGGTAACAGTTGTGCATTTTGTTTTGGGGTTTTGTTCTTTCGTATCCATCCAATTGGTCCCATCTATTTCATCCGCAACCTCACACTTTTACCATCATCCATCAACCTTACCTTCAACATCAGGAAGTGCCAGGAAGTGCCAGGAACAGAAAAAACCTGAGCAGAACTTCGCCAGCCTGCAGAGCTGTCCTGGCAAGCCAACCCATACAAAGATCACAATGATTCAAACTCCGCTCGAGGATAGGTTTGGTCAAAGGGTTTTTGGTTTGGCGCCATGCTTCTTCGTCCTGTGCGTCTACAGCCTCCGAGGCCACGGGGCAAATATGTGGTGGCCCTTGTGCTAAGCCTGGAGATTTGGAAGCTTGCGCTCAGTTTCACATTGTGGAAGGGGACCTTGCCATCGGGTTTGGCAAGGTCAAAGTCAATCCGAAGATCGATCCCGACTCCACAAGAATGGTTGCAAATTCATTTGCATCATAGTGCACAAATTGGTGCGGTAGAGTCGGTGGAAGTTTTATTGAAAGCTGGCGCCAATCTATCTGAGCCATCTCATGCTGTTCCGCCCTTTGGGGCCACACCATTGTTGAGAGCTGCTCTTGGAGGACACGTTCCAGTGATCAAGATGCTCCTTGAGGCTAGAGCAGATCCCAATCAGCTGTGCGAAGTGTTCGTGGGAGGGGCGTTGGGCTGCTCAAGCAACAAGAGCATTGTTGAGAGGCCAATTGATTGCGCAATGGGTCCTGCAGGGCCTGAGGTGGTGAAGCTGCTTCGGGCTTATGGTTCTTTGCCCAGCAGTCAGCCTAAAGTGATTTTCGATAAATGCCGCCCGATGCTCCTGCTAGTTCTTTAAGCAGTGTTGCGGACAACAAGACATGGAACGTACCAAAGTTTGTCAACATGTCTATCCCCATGTGGTGTTGGCCTGAGCCCGATCAGTATAAGTGGACACAGTTGGCTGATCCTCACAAAGCATGGATTGCTTCAACTCTGAAGATAGATCCGTTGCCTTCTATGGCGAAGCGAGAGCGATCGCGGTACGTCTCTGTCAAGGGTCAACCGCTACTGCCTGAAGATGCAGTAAATCTCCATGATGATCCAGGAGAAGAACTCCTGGAACAAATGGAAAAGGCTTTGGCTTCGTTCTTCCAGACCGATGAAGTGATATTGATTCCAGGAGGGTCCAGCAGTCGATTGACTGACCTGGAATCAAGCGATTGGGACTACTACTTCGATGTACCTGGAACTGTTGTCACGGCTGAGCAAAGAGACAAATTGTTGACACACTTATGTGACACATTGAGCTGCTCAGGGAAGTTATCCCCTAGAGGCATTGCGATCCAACTGCAGGTGGATGATATTTCGCTTGAGCTGGTACCCCTCAGTGCATCCTATTTCGATTGGGAGAGCGTGGAGTTTCCGCGTTTTCTGGGATCCACCAACAGATCGAAGAATGATGCATCTCTTCAATTGTTCCTTTCAGGGAATGAAGGAGCACGTGTTGTCATCCGTGAGCTCAAAGCAGCCTTCGCTGATAGTTTGGTGCCCAATTTCCTCCTCGAACATTTGGTGAAACGCGTTGCTATGATGTCAATATGCCATGAACCGGGCGAAGGATTTGTAATCAGATGGTCATTGCCGGGCACATACGGCCTGCTATGCAACATATTTGCAGAGTTGGCGAGCTTTGAGAGCAACTTGGTGATGCAACCGCTAGTGCCGCCAGCGTCTTCCAAATGACCCTTGTAAATCCTTGTAACATCTTGTAACCTTGAGATCCTTCAGTTTAAGGTCGCCCAACCCCCAAAGGAGGACGTTGAACAAACGGTCACTTTGAAGGTGATGGGCTTGTGTCATTTCCTCAACCCCCCCTAGTTCAGTAGTTTGGATTCCCTTGCTTTAGGTCGGGTTAAGAATGGTTCAGATAATTTGGTTGTGTTTGTTCGGCAGAGTTATATCGGTTGGTCAAACATGCCGTTAAATTGGCTGGCCCCACAGCCAGGCAATAGCAACAATCCATTTTCACCCTTGCAAGATCTCGTTGATGATCTGTCTTCCATGCGAGATCTAATCCGAGCTCAACAGATCCGTGAAGGCTTGCTGTCGATGGCCGCACGTGCACGAAACGCTTCATGGGTCAACCGCTTCCTTGTGCATGCAGAGTTTCTGTTTAACCCGGGGAAATTGATTCGATTTACTTTTTTCGTTCGTACAGCATATTCGCTATTCATGGAGCACAAGGTTGGCAGGGACAAGTATCGTCGCTGGTTGGAGTTGAATTTAAATGAAGGAACGCGGTTTGTGAGCATCGATGGGCAGTTTGACAACATATTTGGGCGCTCATTTGCTGATCAGTTTGATCCAGATAACAGAGCTGCCGATGCCTACAAACACACAACTAATCACAGCGCCTCGTTGGAATATCTGGAACTAAGCGTGGAGTTTTGGGAAGCGTCGATGGCATGGTGGAACATGACAGATGGTCAGAGACAGCCATGGCAAGACATGTGTGAATTTCAGCGTGCGCAGTTCGCAAGAAACCCGGAGGCTTTTCCAAAGGATGAGAATTTAGTCAGTGTGGTGGTGCATCCCATTTGGGGGTTCAGGCGGTTTGCTGTGCTTGCTCATCACCTTCCACCGGCACGGACTCATCTTAAAAGGAAATTCAGGAGTCTAATGGCCAGATTTCAAAAAAGCGGCTTTGTCCGAAAATCTTTCGACATCGAAGACTTGCAAGTTCCTCGTTTGAAACGGGAGGTCTTGAATATTCCGGAGATTGCTGCACAATATGCGAAAAAAATACAGGGCTATAGGAGCTGCTTGTTTTCTTTGGCGTCTCTTGGGCCTCCTTCATCTGCCCCTTCCATATAGGATGATTTTCTTGGAATCAACTGGAAACTCCATGGTGCTATAATATGACTCAGCGAGTTCAGTCCTGTTTCATTACCATATTGAATGCTTTCCGGCATATGATTCTGATGGTTGTGTGATGTGCAGTGAATGTATTTTTGGTGCTGTCATCCCATTTCCAGCTGTGGTTCCTTGTCCCAGGGATCCCACATATTTACTGAGCTGTTGGGAGAGTGCAGGGTGTTGCTCCTTCCATACAGTGATCTATTTGGGGTTGCTATACATCGTTCAAATTTTCCATTCCACATTCCTAACGATTCATGTTCAGCAAGATAGAGTTTCGGAATGACTCAAAACAACAGCAAAGATTCTATAGTGAATCGTTAGGATTTCCAACAGCCCAATTTTAATCGCAATCACTCACCGACTGACCCCAAGATCCTGCGAGTCTTTCCTGACGATCAGAGGAATTTTATGATATATAGTCCCAAGATGTTTCCGTTGACCCATCTTCTGTTTTTCAATTTCCACGACCCGTTGTTGATTCATCAAGTGTTTTCCATCATTCATATTGTTTTTTTTTTTTTGTGGTTGGATCCCCAAAACCATGGGTTAACCATGGGCTTAGGAAACCCCCGTATTCCAGGAAGACGCACAGCATGGCTACGGAATCGAGACCTGGCCGGATGGGGCAAAATACCTAGGTGAGACCCGTCAGTGGTGGTCGTGGTGAACCCGGGTGGCTAAGTGGGGCACCTCAAATCCAACAAGCAATATGGGACTTAACCACCAAAAATAGGGGATTTAACCATATTTAACCACCAAAATATGGGAATTAAACCTGAAAATATGGGATTTAACCATATTTAACCACCAACATATGGGATTTAACCACCAAAAATAGGGGATTTAACCATATTCAACCACCAACATATGGGATTCAACCATATTTAACCACCAAAATATGGGATTGAACAACATGAATATGAGATCTACGTTGCAACGCATGAGACCAAAACATGAGATACGACCAAAATATGATGGGATTTAACCACAAACAGTACTGAATTTGATCATCATGGAGGTTCATGCATATTTTGTGGGGCAGGCGATGGTTGGAGTATCTTCTCTCAGAACCCCCAGTAGCATGCAGAAATGGGAGACTCTGCGAGCCCGTGCCACTCTATGCAAATGAATGCATGTACCATAGGAACAATGGGTTGTCTTCTTACTTGTGCTTAGTAGGGAATGAGGGAATGGGATGATTTTTTATAATCATTAATTATGAATCATTCCGCCATTCCCTACGTTTAGCATCAGCCTTCACAATGAGTTCCTGTTGGACAGGGTTTCCAGCCGATGGTCGAATGCAGGTCTCTACGAGAAAGGCAAAAAGGCTGGGAAGGCGCACAGGGGGTCAGGCTGAGGACCTTGGATGGTCCTTGCGAGTTGAAAACACATGTTAATCTGTCATTGCTATCGTTGCTTTGGAAACATTATCACATTGTTTTCACAGTGAGTTACTTGGATATACCCTCTGGTAAATTAACATAGACCCTGGCAGATAGGGGTTGGAAGACTAGGTTCCATTAAAAATTGGTGATTTTCAGGGTCTATGTTTATTAACCAGAGGGTACTTGGATTTGCTGTGCTGAAGACGACTTCTCTTGTCCCATTAATCCGTCAGAACTGGGACGAACTGCAGCAGGAAACCCACTAAAGAGAGATGATATGACCTGCCGTCAGCAAGAAAAAATGGGATATGACCAGGATGTAACCTACCCAACATGGGAGACACGATATGATGTACGATGGACAGACCCAGATCTGCGCCACCCAGACCCAGATCCAAGTCGCGTCCAGGGTTGCTTTAAGTGGACCGACTCGTCCACGTATTTCGGTGACTTCAAGGATAATGAAATTGCCGGCTATGGCATGTACCTCGGCAGCTGCCTGGGAACACACAAGACTCTCAGTGGTGGTTCTGCTATTTGTTTGTTTCATATGTGTCATATCTATCACACTGTATTTGCGTTTTATGAATGATCTCTGTTTTCATTATTGCCATTTTTTCCATGTTAACTTTGGGTTACTGCCGTCACTGTACTTCATCCAGTGAGCATATCTTTCCGGTGCCGAGGTATGTTTGGGGACGCTTGGCCCAGCTGAGTCGCCGTGGAAGTTGGAAGTGGGGGGCGATTGTCTGAGAATGGCATCATTTTAAGTGGGTGAACTGTTACAATTTGATACAATTTGACCAGGTCAAGGAAGAATTCAAGATATTCAAGGGATACCATTTGGTTTTCGCCATCAAATGCACGGGTTTTGGGTAAACTTCTCCCTGAACTTTCCAGAAATCCATTGAGAAGAGGCAAGGATCAACATCGACCATGTCTGCACCAACTTCTACTTGCTGGAGGTTCGAAGGGGCTCCAAAGCCATCCAAATCTACATCCAAAATTACTAACTGTGGTTATCTATGGTTTCCGGTTAGCCCGGCAAGTGAGAGCTGTGTCTTCAACATGCTCAAATACCTTCGCAGGGCCAGTGTTTTGGTATTTCGAAGGCGACGAATCCTAAACCCAAAAATGTGAACCCTAAACCCCAAAACCCTAAAACCCCAAGTCCTAAAACCTAAACAAGTCCTAAACCAGAAAACACTGCGTACACGCAGTATTTCTGCAATCTCTCCTATCATGTTCGACAACATGGCATCCTCAATGTTGCAGTCCGGGCAAACCACGTGGTCTGTGCGCACGGTTAGGGACAGTATATATATATATTATATAACCCCTACATAGGGAGAGTACTCCCTTCTCCCCTCATGTTAAACTCCCACCAATCGAACCCCTGGTTCAGTGTTTGATCTACATAATCATTTTGGGATCGCCAAACTGGGTTGCCAAAATGGAGGATACCCTCTAATTCCCGCAACCTCCAGTGGTTTATCATGGTTTATGAGCATTTTCCCAGCTAAATGACTGTATAATTGGCTAGACACACAGGTTCATCATCATTTTCCAATGGTAACCATCGGGTAGACCCAATTGTTTCTAAAACACGATGGGTTCCAGTCACCATGGCAACCTAGGAGATGGTCGGAAGCCAGGAGCTTGGAGGGATTTTTTCCCCTCTCGATCCAACTTATAACCGTGTTACATCGGATTATGTTCCCAACTCCCAGGGGTGATTTTGGTGCCGTGCTTGAGGTATGTGGGAGAATGGGAGTCCAACAGCATGCATGGCTGGGGCAGGCGATTGGGTGGCATTTTTGGTGTGTCAGAAGATGGGGATTCACTTCGCAAAGTCGCAGTTTTCTATGGTTTTCTTGGGAAACCTCGGAATCACAATATGGTTTTAAACTTTTTGAGGATCATCAGCCATCCTGTTTTTTCTTTGTTTTTTGGCGATCTTGTTTTCAGACATTTTCAGACCAAAGCCAACTCATGGCTGATCTTGGGCCAGGTTCGACTGGCCGGATGGCAAGGTCTATGAGGGCCACTATCACCAAGACATGAAGGCAACATTTGCAGCACACAAAAAGTGTTTTGTTTGGATTCCAGTTTGGGTTGCTTAGATACCCCAAATCTATGAAGATCAGTGGCAGATTATGGTCGCTTTTTCCTGCGGCTGTGTCAAAGTGCAACTAGAAGAAACGCATACTCAGACAACCGAAGAAAGAAATGATGGTATAGCAACAACCGCAACCACTTTTGCAAAGAACTCCAGCAGTTTTGACCTTGTCAATCACTGATGCGACAGGATGGCTTTGGCAGATTTCGATGGCCAAGTGGCCAGTCATTCGAAGCTCGTCGAATGGAATTTGACGCCGGGGGAGAAGCTATTGGCTATTCATGCCATTCATGCCGCAACACTTTGAGTTGATGTCA